TTTATTGAATTCGGTTGCTGATGTTTACCAAATGGGGAATACCTGAGTGCAATTAAAGACCCAGATCAGGTAATTATCTTGCTGTGGATGGCATTTTGTTCTATTTTTTTCTTCTAGCTATTTATCTAACTTTCTAAATGCTAATATAAGTATATTATGTTCAGAGGTTTGCCGCTTTTATGGCCCCTTTAACATCTGGTGTGTAACTATTGAGCTAGTGCAGTGTACATATCAAAGGTAAAATACATTTTAAATTTGGTCTGTATTTGGTTGGACAATTTTGATGCATGTGTATAATTCTAGGGCCTGTGATGCAGAATCATAAGAACTAATTATGAAGTACTGAAAATAGCTTCTTCTCCTTTAGATTGGTTTAGCAATTGCTATAAGGTATGCATTATCTAGACGGGTTTCTCTATTTCACCAAATGGGCCTGAAACCTGTTGCTTGATTACCCAAGTCATCAACGGCGACTATTGCCTCTCCTTGCAAAGACGTAAGCATCTCAATAACTTGTATTGTGAAATTTAATTTTAGCTCCTATCGAAAGAAATATATATAATTGGAAGTATTTGGGATATTAACTTTTGTCTTGCACTTTCATTACAATGAATGTAGAAATAGCATCCAGTATCAACTGAGTATATGTATGAAACTGGATTTTCCACTGTGTTGGCACATTTAAAATTCTTGCAGTTTTTATTTGTTTTTCAAAGCTAAGTTGGGAGTTTGATCCTATTACAAGTGTCTTTGTTTTTCACTTAGTTAGTACTTATGTAAGTATCCTGATTGCTTCAGTAATATGTGGTATGCGAATGACACTAATCTTAAAAGACCTGTCTCTTGATGATCTTAACTAACAAAACTGCTATTCTTGTTTTCCCCTGCCGTCCTCTCCCTTTTCTCCCAATTCTTGCTGGGCTACAGATATGCAATGAGTTCGGCCACAAATACTTGAAGATGATATATGTGAATAGAACACCTAGTCAAACAAAACATTCATGTTGTTTCAAGCGCACTCAAGGCCGCACATACCTGGCATAATATGCGAACACTACAGTGAGAACCTGCAATTAGTTGAATTTTTTACATGCTTCTGCAATTAATTGTGGTATATACCTTCCTGCTAAGTGGTTTCACCAAAGTGACATTACTGTACTTTCAGGAATGTCGTGAGCTTGTGGAGGACAGGGACTTAAGACTGGAATATGTGGTCATTTGAAAAGTAATTCGATGTGCAGTCTACTTTTGAAGGGGATAACAATGTCTGATGCAGCAGGTAGCATAAAGTTTATGGTCTTTTTTTACAAAATTTTTAATGTAAGACTTCAATATTTGGTATAAATTGTTTTTCAAAATGACCTGGCTGAGTATTTTCATTCATTTAAAAAAAAAATTAGAATAGGTATCAGTCTATCTAAGACACGAAAATGTAGATTCTAATACCTTCTTCAAATGACATGAATATTAGTAGCCATCTCCAAGGTTGGAGGCTAACAATATTTTTGTTCTTGAATAAATGAGTTTAGTTATATTGAGTATTGATAACACTCTGGCAGTTATATAGGTTGAATCTTAGAATCTCCTGCTTCTTGGATCACAATGTGCAGATTGCAATATTCAATTTTGATTTGTAGATTTTTATGTTAAGCTTGAGTTACCAATTTAATTTGTTTTGCTAAATGGCTAAATTTTAATATGGAAGTATATTTCTACTCATTTTTACATTCTCAATAGACTATTTGTAAATCAAATTAATTTGTGAGGTTAAATGTGTGAATATAGGTTAGCAAGGCGCTTCTTGCAGAGTATATAGCAGCTAAGACGAGAATAATTCTTTCAAAGGTTTGGGATTAGAACACATGAATAAGCCTTGCCCTGTGATCCCATCTCAACTTGAAGTCTATCTCAGGAGCAGCCAGTTTCAAGTAAGCTAATTTAGCTTTTACAATTGCTATTGTAAATATTATTGATTGTTGCTAACCTCTGTGCAAGTCAGATGGATGTTCTGCTTAAGGGAGAGAGATCTCTTGAGTCGTTTTGCTTTGGAAGTGTCGCAGCATCAAGCCGGGGACAAAGAAAGAGTATGCCTTCATTCTGGTGAGAATGGTCTTATGTAACCAAACTTGAAACTGCTTCTCCTCCCATTTGCAGTATTCTTCTCTAATTGCTGTTTTCATTTTACCACACCCAGAGTTACCAGCTTGCAGAAGATTTGGGTAGAGCTTTTTCAGATAGATTAATATTGCAAACCTTTATTGAGGCTGAGGCAACTGTATCAGAGGGTTCTTTGAAGGTAAATTTTAGCAATTATTTATAGTAACTTATTTACTTTGACCTCCGCATGAAATCTAGAACCAATTTCAGATATCCATTTGTCCAATTTGTATGGGTATATAAAGGTTGTGATATTATGACCAAGTAAAAAGCTGCAATGGAAATCAACTGTTTTGAATGGAAAATGAAATAGCAGATTAAGAAATCTTAGGTATGCAGAGTCCTTTTATTACAGCCAGATAACATTTTTGGGATACTTACAGTTTCCAATATTCTGTTGGAAGTATAAATATTTGGGTTTGTTTGCAATTAGCATTAGTGTTGTTATTAATATTATAACAAAATGAGTTAAAAAGGTGAAATGGAAGTTGCTGAGCAGGTGAATTGTTTCTTCTGCAGCATGTCCTAGTTTGTTGAGATCGTTGTATGCTTAATATGCTTGGAAGAAGATGCTGCGTTTCTCCGATATGCGTATTTATCAACAGACAATGATGCTGCTGTGAGGAAAGAAGTCAACAACTGTGTAGCGAGTGCGACCACATGCACTCGCTTTGGTCAGTTCCTTTGGCATTCCCGATGGTTCTTGAGCCCTATAGCATTTAACTGGATTGAGCAAATTCTTGGTCTTCAGCTCATCAATAGTTTGGTTATTTAGTTGAAGCAAAAGGTGTAATGCCCGCAGCTGTCTGCCTTGAGAGTAAGCAGCGCGGTCAAACACATGCTATTGAAATTGGATGAAACATACATTTTGTAAAACAGTTTTATAATAAATCGGGGCTTTGTTTGTCTAAGCACAATTACCCAATGGATTGTTTTGGTACTCGTTACTGTTTGTTCCTTGGGTTTAAAAGGTCTGGAAAAATGACACAGGGTTGAGGTTAACAAGAAAGGGACTCTTGGTTAAGTTGAAATAAACCATAATAATGTTACATAATATATCTTAATATGGCTGATTTATTTTAACTTTTGCATTCAATATAACTAGTGTTAATATTTAAGCCCTATGATCCTTCGATTTGCAACTCATCTTCTAAAGATGACGTTGAGGTCACCTTACACCGTACTTTGACCCTATATTTAAGTAAGAGTTTGAGAAACACAAACTTATTATAAACGAACAACTACCATTTAGAGAAAACTTATTTTTGTGCTACATGACATTTTTGCATTACATGTTTGCACTTAGAAAGAATTAAAAGCATGAGCCATCCACATGCATACATATGCATATAAAAATAAAGAAAGAAAGATTAAAGAAAAAGAAAGAAAAAGATAGAATGCTTTAAAAGAAGAAAAGAAAGGTTGTTGTGATGGGGAACCCGTGGGTGACAAGAAGAAGAATATTCCCACATACACGCCGCCTTAAGTAAGCGGCTTAAGAAGAAGAAGAAGCATTTGTACGGTCCGTTAGAGTGTATGTGGATGAGGGCTGTACCAAGAAGAAATACCTACATGCACACCACCTTAATTGAGTGGCCTAAGAAGAAAAGAATTTGTACAGTCCGTAAGAGTGCATGTAGATATGACTGTACTCACTCACACGGCCGGGGCTCCGAATCCATGCATCAACCAAGTCCAATTGGCAAAGAATAAGAAAGAGTAAGAAAGAATAAGAAAGAATGAGCAAACAAGAAAAGAAAGAAAAGAAAAGAGAGAAAAGAAAAGAAGAAAAGAAAAAGCAAGAAAGAAAGAATAAAAAGAATAGAAAGAACAGAAAGAAAGAAAAGAAACAGAAAGAAAGAAAAATAGAAAAGAAACAGAAAACAGAATAAGAGAAAAGAAGAAAGAAAATGCATTCTCTATGCATTTTGTGCATTGCATCTCATCCATGCATGTTACCATGATTATTATCGTGGTTAGTGAGAGATTAGAAGAAAGAAAGAACAGAGAGAGAATTAGAAAGAAAGAAAGAACCAAGAAAGTTAGAATGAAAGAACAGTGAGAACTAGAAACAGTGAAAGATAAGAGAAAGAACAAAGAGAGAATGAAAAAGAAAAAGAATAGAGTAAGGAAAGAACTCAAGATTAAGTCACGGGGATAGAAGAGTAGATGATTTACATACTGAGCAATTAGTAAAAACCCTGTTGTTTTTCCATGTTTTGCAGGAAATAGGTGAAAAGCGATCGGATGGACATCAGGAAGCGGAGAGAAATGACATTACTGTCCACCGTTATTAAAGCTTTTGTATATGCTATTTTGTTATGTAAAGAATTATATATAAAGTAAAGAAATTTTTTGGGCCCATTACTTTTCCTGTTATACTTATGTATTTTATCATGATGTATTTTCTACGTATACTAGTTAAGAAAGAAGGTATTACAGTAATCTACCATTGTTTATTTACTGCTTTAATAGAATCAATCTTATTTTAACAACGACTAACTATTTAGGTTGGTGTTTGACAGTGACAGAGATATAAGATATTTTCGTCCTTTTGCTTTTAGAATAATGTTATATGTACCAACAAATTTTATAAAAATTTATGTATAAACTAATATGATATAACATAAAAGAAAGAGTAAATATTTTATATCATCTCAATTTATACACAAATCTTTATAAAATTTATTCGTTGATCAAATATTACTTTTTAACCGATAAATTTATCGATCCAACTAGCCGCGTCATTTTGCTCACACCACCGCTTGCACGCGTAAAATCAAACGCCCTTTAGCCGTTAAACAATTCCACTTACAAATCAGACCTCCTCCATCACTATTCTCGTCTCACAACAAAATGGATCGCGCTTTTCAACGAGCCAAAATCCTCAGCGATCATCTCTTGCAATCCAATTCTTCTCAGATTATTTCCACAAACGCATGCTTAAGTTACTCTCCGCCCGAACTCAATGAACTTTACGATTTCGACATCAAAGAGATGCGGAAACTATTGGATGGCCACAACGTCCAAGACCGAGACTGGCTGTTCAATCTCATCGTACAGAGCAAACTTTTTAATCCGAAAAAAGCGGGAGAGAAAGTCTTTATATCGCCTGATTATAATCAGTCGATGGAGCAACAACGGGAGATGACAATGAAGAGAATTTCCTACTTGCTCGAAAGAGGGGTTTTTCAAGGCTGGCTTACTGCCAAAGGAGTCGAAGCTGAGCTGACCAAATTAGCTCTTCTTGAAGTTGTCAGTATGTTCGACCACTCGCTCGCCATCAAGCTCGGTGTTCACTTCTTCTTGTGGTAATTAAATATTGAAATTTGTCATTTAATTAATTTGTACGAGCTGGATTTTTGATTAAAATTAAAAAAAGTTTTGGATTCTGATTTGGTTGCAGGGGTGGGGCCATCCAATTTTTCGGGACGAAGCGCCACCACGACAAGTGGCTGAGAGACACTGAGAATTATGTGGTGAAGGGTTGCTTTTCAATGACGGAGTTGGGACATGGAAGTAATGTATGTATACTAATGTTTTTAATTCCTTTTGTAGAATCTTATGATATCCTTTATTTTTGAACTGTTAGTTGGGAATGTTGTTTTTAGGTCAGAGGAATTGAAAACTGAAATTTAAGTTTTTACTTAATTCACTTGCAACCCAACAAGGGAGTTAAAAAATCTGGGAGTTTGGGTATATATACTTATCTTTTATTGTAGTTGATGTTAAATTGGTAGTGAGAACTGAGAAGGCAGCATTTATTGGTCAGCATGGGATGAGATGAATGATGGTCTAATGAATGTGTATATCTGTATTTAATTAAGTTTACCCAGGGCAGGTAATAGTTGTGAATAGTTATTTCGCTGTCTGACATTGGCGTTGCCTTAAATGAAGAAACACGTTATTGTACCTTCCTCACGGATACCGCAACTAATTTTACCGCTAAGTCCTTCTATTCTAAATATATGAATCTTAAACGATCCATTTTTCATTGCCCATACATATCTTAAATAGACCAATATCATTTAGATACCAACTCCTGTAATACCATAATATAAAATGAAACCCTCTCCAAAGCTTGACCTTCTGCAGCTCTTAAATTTCTTTCCTCTTGCCTCATAACAAATCTATACATTCTACATGAATAGCTTCAAGGATGTGAACTTTGCAGCTTGAGAACATATTTTTTCTTCTCTATTTATGTAAACTGAGGGGATACTGGTGATTATAAAATCAGTTCGTTTTAGGGCTGTCAGAAGAGTCGAACGGCTCTTGAGTCGGCTTGGCTCGGCTCGTCTGAAGTCGTATGACTCGGCTCGTGTTAGCCGAGTCAACTCGGCTCGTGATTAGCCGAGTCAACCGGCTCGAGCTCGCTGTATAAAACGAGCCGAGTTTGAACATGGGGAGGCTCGGCTTGAAGGCCGCGAACCTGATGTGGCTCGCTAAGCAGGGTTCTATTTGTATATTTTATAAATAGTGGGGGACTGAAGTGTTGTCTTATTCTTTAGTTTAACCCCTCAATGTAATAGTTCTAAAACACAAAATAAACCCTCAAATCAGATTTCCCAAATCGACAAACCCTAACTCTTAAATTTGTTCTTGCAAATTTTCATAATAAAAAATCAAATACAAAATAAGGTTGTATTGGGAAGAAGATGAAGACAAGATGAAGATGAAGATGAAGATGAAGAAGTGGAGATGGAAGCAGTGTAAATCGTGATTTTCTACAGATGAAGATGAGATGGAGATGAAAATGGAGATGAAGAAGATGATGGAGATAAAGATGAGGATGAAGATAAAGATATAACAGATGATGCAGTCATGCAGATGATGAAGATGATGGAGATAAAGATGCAGATGATGAAGATGATGGAGATAAGATGCAGATGATGAAGATGAAGTCGAGTTGGTCGAACTGATCGAGCGCCGAGTCGAGTCCCTTTTCTTTGACTCGACAGGACGAGCTCGAACTCGAGCTTGATCCTGTAGCAAACGAGTCGAGCTTGATAAGTCGAAAACTGACTTGACTCGGCTCGTTTACAGCGTTAGTTCGTTTAAATCATTTTCTGTTCTCTTTTTTTTTTTTTTTTTTTTTTTATTACTACTTTTAAATCAACTTTCATTGTGATTCCAAACCCAAGTATCCAATTAGTAATTTTCTCTTGAGGAAATGAGTGGGTGTCAGTCCACGCAACTTAACATGTTATATTATCTTGTAATAATCTATCTTTATTTAATTATTGGTTTATTTCTTCGTTATCATAAAGTACTTCGTTTATATTGAATTGTTTTTTTAGTGCTTAATCAAATAGAGTCAGCAACACAAAATAATTTGTATTTAATATCATTATATGATCGAGTTGTTAACTTTAAATGTATTATTTAAAGGATTTTAAATTTGATTCACTTTAGTTTTTAATGGATAATCAGTGAATACCGAAGACTCAACGATTGTTAATTTTAGAACCTTACTAAAGAATTATTCGATTATTAATTCGGAACTTAGAGAGATTAACTTTAAGTGAGCATCAACTGGCACGACTAGGGCGTAAGGAACCGAGCGCGCGAGTAGCTCGCGGCTCGGCTCGACGAGCCAGATTCGACTGACAAAAGTCGAGCCGAGCTCGAGCTTGAGCGGCTCGAGTACCTTCGAGCCGAGCTACGAACCACCCACTACTGGCCGATAGGTCGTGAATGGCTCGAAAGGGTATAAGTGCTATTTTTTAAATATCAGGGGGTTATATGTAATTTATATATCCAATATAAATTATCACTTCCTAAACCTATCTTCTTCTCCAGCGCCGCCACTTTCTCCTCACTTTTCTTCATCTTTTTTCTCCTTGTCTTTTTCTCCTCATTTTCTTCTTCTTCTTCACCTTTCTCTTACTTTTCCTTCGCTCTTCCATCTCTTTCCTTCTTCCTCTTTGCTTTTCTTGTTCTTTTTCTCTCCTCTTCTCTTTTCTTATCTCTCACTAGTTGATGGAATTTTGAGTCATATATTTGTGGCTATTTGGCTTTGGATTGAGATGGTTGGTGATGATTAGTGGGTTGGCTTTGTATTAGGGCTATTTGAAGGATTGTTGATGGATGCTTGGATTGAGGGCTCATAAATGAGCGGTTTGCGAGCTGAATTTGAGCTCAAAATATTTAACGAACTAGAGCTTCAAGCCTAGTTTTCAAAGTCGTCGAAATCGAGCTCGAGCTCAAGCTCGTTAAATTTTCACGAGCCAAGCTTGAACACGTAGTTCGGCTCGGCTTGGCTCGTATACAACCAGATGACCGCTTATTAAAAAAAAAAAATTATATTTGTTAAGAAACAAGATTAGAGTCTTGAACCTGACATCCCCGTACTGCCACGTCACTACAAAATGGCGTCTAGAAGGTTGAGTACAGAAACGTCATTGTTTAGAACCCCAAGCATAAGCAATTGTAGTTGGAGATAAGCAACGACCTTATCGCTTATCCAATATTATGTTTCTTAAGGTATGTTGTTGCCCCTACGACATCGTTTCAGTTTTGGATTTTGTCGAAAGACCTCCCCCATTCTGTTAAAGACTTTCGTTAAGTGCACAAATAAGGACAACACGCGCCTTCGAGGAGAGTATGGAAACAATAACATTTTACTTCTTATGTTTGTTCATTATAAAAATATTTCACATTAAAAATTGTTAATAATTTGATGAAATCGAAAATAATATTGAAGAATAAGGTCCAATGTATGAATAGACTTGTGCTTCTAATTAACATGGAAAACGTGGCCTTGTCCATTTATCCTTAATTAGAAAATATATTTTGGAGTGTTATAAAATTATAATGCTAATGTACTCCTTTTTTCTATTATTCTCTTGATTAATCTTTTTTAATTTGCAGGAGAAGGTCCGTCTGATTCGTCGGATATATAGCATGTGAGTCACGTGACTGTGATCGTAAACCCTTCTAAAATATCACTAAATTTAATTGGTATGTTTTGTGAGGTCCACTGTCCACCGACCCACCTTTTAGCACTACATAAACATTAAACATCATAGCTTTTGCACCCACCGCAATCGACTTACGCCTTAAAAACTTTGGTGTCCTTACTGTAGATCCTCTTGTAATTATTATTTTGTTACTATACAAAAAAAAAAAAAAAAAAAAAACTTTGAATCTAGTAATTGTAACGCCCACTTTGAGGGTACGTAGCTTGTATATGCTTATGGTCCTTACTGTTGTTTGTTTGCCCTTAGCCAACTTGTATGCTGTTAATATTGCGTTTGCCCTGAGTTGGTGAAGGATTGGCGAAGTTAGAAAATTGTAGACTTTGTCGAGGCGAAGAATAAAGTTCGCCGCGGCGACGTATGCTTTGGAATTTTTTGCTGAGGTGAAGAAAAATCTCACCGGGGTAAGAGCTGGTTGAAATTCTTGAGAAGTTTTTAGAGAATTTTTTTTCCTTTGAGGCAAAGGACCCTTCTACCCCTAATTAGTAGTAAAAGTGGGGAGTGAAAAGTAAGAAAATTTCATGGAGAATGTAATGGAGATGGGGGTGTATTGGTAATGAACTAAAGGGCAAAGATGGAATTTTAAAGAAAGTGCAAGGGCAAAATGGGAAAACATGATATAATATGAGATATAAGGGTTTAATCTCCATTCTCTACACTTACACGCATTTCTACTCTCCAACTCTCATCTTTTCATAAATTTTAAGGAAGATTAGAGGGTTTTTGGTTGGATTTTGGTAAAGATTTGATCCTAAGCATCCAAAGGTAAGGATTCTTGCATAGATATGAGATTAATTTGTAAAAGTGTTGAATTCTTATAGTGTTTGTGGCTTAGGGTTTTAGAGAAAGAACAAGTCCATCAAAGAAGAGGAATGTAGTGGAATTACTCAAAGCAAGGTAAGTAAATCCAACTCTAATCCGTGTTGAGCAATAAAAGTGTAGAGTTGTTTCATATGACTATATTATATGCTTGAGATTTGTGATGGAATGTGATTGAGTTTGATGATGGTCCATGATTGGATTTCCACCATGAGAAGGGATGGTGTGTTGATAGAAGTTGGAAATAGTTTAAGAAGATTCATGAAGTGTAATTTTCTGGCAGGATTAGTGGATTTAAGGGAGTTTTGCTCCAATTATTGGTAGATTGAGAAAGAAAATAGAAATGCGTTATGCATACATGATGTTTGATGCAATGCTTAAGCGAATGTAATTTTATATAATAGTGAATGGTTGCCGGGAAATTGATAGAAGAAGCTCTTCAAAATTGTCCTTCCTGAATCCTGATTTGTTTCTTCGTCAAATACCTTGAATTTTTTTCCTTTTATATAATTAAAAGTTGACAATCTTGTTATTTTAATTGGATTATGACAAACAAGTCTGCTATTAATTTGACATGGTATAGGTCATAAATAGGCGGTGAGCTTTCACGTCTAAATAATTAAAGAATATGCATAAAAAAGTTGAAATTGTAATAGTAATGATATTGAAGAATGTGAACAGAGGAAATGATCATGGAGTTAGGAAAACAACTTTCCTGGAAAGGAACCTGTTAACTTAAAGTAAATCAAAGGAAGACTCATTCAGATACAGATTATTTCTTTTCAATATCCATTCACAAATTAATTAAAATTTAAAATGTTATATTTTATAGTTTTCGCTAGATGAGGTTGAAATTTTGAATTTTAAAAGTTTGATTTAATTTAACAACAGAAAGGAAGCGCCAGTTATGGCAAGATTTGTAAATATTGTAAAGACATTCCGTAGAATGTAATTTCACTTGTAAATATCTTTTTCAGTTTTGTACTTTTATTATTGAATTAGAATTAGAAAAGGAAAGTAGAGTGAAAAAGAAAGGAATAATAGCAATTGCCAGTTTGAGTTGAGATGAGGTAAAATTGAAAGCTTTGAAAAGGTAAGGCTCCAACTAATTCAACTTCATTGCCTCTCTCTCTCCCTCTTCCTGCAAATCAAATCTCTCTTTTTCACTCAAACTCAAATGTATAGATCGCCATCTTGATCCTTTCCATTCTCATAGTAGATATTACTTCTACTTACTTAAAATAGATTAGAGTACAAGAATCTGATAAACACAAACAACATAAAATGGGAGCTTACAGAGCTGATGATGACTACGATTACTTGTTCAAGGTGGTCTTAATTGGCGACTCTGGAGTTGGTAAATCCAATCTCTTGTCACGATTCACTAAAAACGAATTCAGTCTCGAATCTAAATCCACCATCGGCGTCGAATTCGCTACTCGCAGCATTCGCGTCGATGACAAGGTCGTCAAGGCCCAGATTTGGGATACTGCCGGCCAAGAACGGTAAATGTTTTGTTCATCATTTTCATTTGAATTCCACAGATCTTGTTATCTGAGATCCCTACTTAATACCCTGTTTTATAAATTCATAATACAACTAAGGCCGATTGTCAATCAACTATCGCATGCGTATATTTTTTATTAATTGAGATTTTTTCGCTGAATTGCATTTGATGTGATGAATGTTAGCTGCATAGTTCTGTTACAGATATAAAGCTCATTGTGTTAAGTTTTGATCTGCAAAATTAGGTGCATATTGTGGCATCAGTATCACTCTTGTTTAAGATCTAATCTATTATCACTAATACTGATTTCCATTTGAGATAGTGTAAGAAATTGACAAGAAAAGTAAACAATATAGTGATAAAGAGAGAAACCAATGCATTTTGATTGGCTTCATTTTCTTTTTAACTGATTTGTACTAATTTTCATTGTTGGCATTCTGCCTCTTCTTGATTGGCAACACATTATGTTTGCTTAATATTTCTGTGGAATATAGTCCTTTTTATCATTTCATTGATGCTGATCATCTTGTATTAGGTACCGTGCAATCACAAGTGCATACTACAGAGGAGCGGTAGGTGCATTGCTTGTTTATGATGTTACACGACATGTCACGTTTGAGAATGTGGAGAGATGGTTAAAGGAGCTTAGGGATCACACTGATTCCAACATTGTGATCATGCTTGTTGGAAACAAGGCAGATTTACGTCATTTGCGTGCAGTTTCCACCGAGGATGCTCAGTCATTTGCTGAGAGAGAGACTACCTTTTTCATGGAAACCTCTGCGCTAGAATCACTAAACGTGGAAAATGCCTTCACAGAAGTACTCACTCAGATATATCGTGTTGTCAGCAGGAAAGCTCTTGATGTTGGCGAAGATCCAGCAGCCTTGCCCAAGGGGCAAACTATTAATGTTGGCACTAAAGATGATGTATCAGCGGTGAAAAAGGCTGGATGCTGCAGTGCATAATCTGCAGCAATGAAAGAAGTTATCGTGGTAAAAACTAGTTTCTCCTCTTTCTCAAATTTACATTTCCATGGTTTGGAGACATCTTCGTTTTTGTATGTGTCAGGATGAGATCACATGGAGTGGTGCAGGAACAAATTGTAGTTTTGTGGTACATCATGGATTGAGAGAGTCAAAATCTTGTCGGAGTTTAATTGAAATCATAAGCCCTCAGATCTAAGAGCTCACATTTGGTGCAAGCTCCTTGTGTTTTTTCTTAATGTATTGTTTGTTTTGTCTCCGAGTATTATTATAGTATGTATTCAGTATCCAGTCTCTAGATTAGTTTAAATTTTATTGCAAAGGATTGAAATTTGGAAAGTATGTTAAGATAATTCTGTTCTCCAAGTGATTGATTGATTATTTGGTACTGAAATTTAAGTTTTTACTTAATTCACTTGCAACCCAACAAGGGAGTTAAAAAATCTGGGAGTTTGGAGTATTATATACTTATCTTTTATTGTAGTTGATGTTAAATTTGGTAGTGAGAAGTGAGAACTGAGAAGGCAGCATTTATTGGTCAGCATGGGGCATGAGATGAATGATGGTCTAATGAATGTGTATATCTGTATTTTCATTAAGTTTACCCAGGGCAGGTAGTAGTTGTGAATAGTCATTTCGCTGTCTGACATTGGCGTTGCCTTAAATGAAGAACACCTTATTGTACCTTCCTCACCGGATACCGCAACTAATTTTACCGCTGAGTCATTCTATTCTAAATATATGAATCTTAAACGATCCCATTTTTTCATTGCCCATACATATCATTAAATAGATCCAATATCATTTAGATATTAACTCCTGTAAATACCATAATATAAAATGAAACCTCTCCAAAGCTTGACCTTCTGCAGCTTCTTAAATTTCTTTCCTCTTGCCTCATAACAAATCTATAGATTCTACATGAATAGCTTCAAGGATGTGAACTTTGCAGCTTTGAGAACATTTTTTTTCTTCTCTATTTTATCGTAAACTGAGGGGATACTGGTGATTATAAAATTAGTTTGTTTTAGGGCTGTCAGACTAGTCGAACGGCTCGCGAGTTGGCTTGGCTTGGCTTGGCTCGGCTCGTCTAAAGCTCGTTTATGACTCGGTTCGTGATTAGCCGAGTCAACTCGGCTTGAGCTCGCTGTATAAAACGAGCCGAGTTCGAACATGGGGAGGCTCGGCTTGAAGCCTTGCGAGCCTGATGTGGCTCGACTAAGCAGGGTTCTATTTGTTATATTTTATAAACAGTGGGGACTGAAGTGTTGTCTTTATTCTTTATGTTAACCCCCCAATGTAATTAGTTCTAAAATACAAAATTAAACCCTCAAATCAGATTTCCCAAATCGACAAATCCTAACTCTTAAATTTGTTCTTGCAAGTTTTTATAATAAAAAATCAAAATCAAAATCAAAATAAGGTTGTATTGAGGAAGAAGACGAAGACGAAGACGAAAGACGAAGATGAAGATGAAGATGAAGATGAGGAAGATGGAGATGGAAGCAGTGTAAATCGTGATTTTCTGCAAGATGAAGATGAGATGGAGACGAAAATGAAGATGAAGATGAGATGGAGAAGAAAATGAAGATGAAGATGAAGATGATGGAGATAAAGATGAAGATAATGAAGATAAAGATATAAAGATGATGCAGTCATGCAGATGATGAAGATGATGGAGATAGAGATGCAGATGATGAAGATGAAGTCGAGTCGGCTCGAACTCGATCGAGCTCGAGTTCGAGTCCCTTTTCTTTGATTCGACAGGCTCGAGCTCGAACTCGAGCTTGATCTTGTAGCAAACGAGTCGAGCTTGATAAGTCGAAAACTCGACTCGACTCGGCTTGTTTACAGCATTCGTTCGTTTAAATCATTTTCTGTTCCTCTTTCTTTTTTTATTTTATTTTATTACTACTTTTAAATCAACTTCCATTGTGATTCCAGACCCAAGTATCCAATTAAGTAATTTTCTCTTGAGGAAATGAGTGGGTGTCAGTCCACGCAACTTAACACCGTTGTATAATCATCTTGTAATAATCTATCTTTATTTAATTATTTGGTTTATTTCTTTGTTATCATAAAGTACTTCAGTTCATATTGAATTGTTTTTTTTGTGCTTAATCAAATAGAGTCCGAGCAACACAAAATAATTTGTATTTAATTATCATTATATGATCGAGTTGTCAACTTTTAAATGTATTATTTAAAGGATTTTAAATTTGATTCACTTTAGTTTTTAATGGATAATCAGTGAATACCGAAGACTTACACGATTGTTAATTTTAGAACCTTACTAAAGAATTATTCGATTATTAATTTCGGAACTTAGAGAGATTAACTTTAAGTGAGCATCAACTGGCACGACTAGGGCTGTAAGCGAGCCGAGCCGCTTGCGAGTAGCTCGCGACTCGGCTCGAAAAAAGTCAAGCTGAGCTTAAGCTCGAGCTACGAACCACCCACTACTCGGCTCGATAGGCTCGTGAATGACTCGAAAGGGTATAAGTACTGTTTTTTTAAGTATCAGGGGGTTATACATAATTTACTATATCCAATATAAATTATCCCACTTCCTAAACCCTATCTTCTGTCTCCAGCGCCGCCACTTTCTCATACCCTTCTTCATCTTTTTTCTCCTTCGTCTTTTTTCTCCTCCATTTTCCTTCTTCTTCACCTTTCTTCTTACTTCTCCTTCGCTCTTCCATCTCTTTCCTTCTCCCTCTTTGCTTTTCTTTTCTCTCCTCTTCTCTTTTCTTCTATCTCTCACAGTTGATGGAATTTTGAGTCATATATTTGTGGCTATTTGGCTTTGGATCTAATGATGGTTGGTGATGATTAGTGGGTTGGCTTTGTATTGGGGCTATTTTGAAGGATTGTTGATGGATTGCTTTAGATTGAGAACTCATAAACGAGCGGCTCGCGAGTTGAATTCGAGCTCAAAATATTTAACGAACTCGAGCTTCAAGCCTGGTTTTCAGAGCTCGTCGAACTCGAACTCGAGCTCAAGCTCATTAAATTTTCACAAGCCAAACTCGAACACTGTAATGTTCGACTCAGCTCGGCTCATATACAGCCCTAGTCACACGACCTGCTTATTAAAAAAAAAAAAAAATTATATTTGTTAAGAAACAAGATTAAGAGTCTTGAACGTGACATCCCCCCTACTGCCACATCAACTACAAAATGGCGTCCTAGAACGGTTGAGTACAGACACGTCATTGTTTAGAACCCCAATGCATAAGCAATTGTAGTTGGAGATAAGCAACGACCTTATCCGCTTATCCAATCATTACGTTTCTTAAGGTTATGTTGTTGCCCCTACGACATCGTTTCAGTTTTCGGATTTTGTCGAAAATGACTTCCCATAATTTCTGTTAAAGACTTTCTGTTAAGTGCACAAATAAGGACAACACGCGCCTTCGAGGAGAGTATGGAAAACAATAACATTTTACTATTTTACTGTTTTGTTCATTAAATAAAAAAATTTCACATTAAAAATTGTTAATAATTTGATTGAAATCGAAAATAATATTGAAGAATAATGTCCAAGTTATGAATAGGACTTGTGCTTCTAATTAACATGGAAAAACGTGGCCTTGCCCATTTATCCTTTAATTAGAAAATACATTTTGGAGTGTTATAAAATATTAATGCTAGTGTACTCCTTTTATTCTATTATTCTCTTGATTAATCTTTTTTAATTTGTAGGAGAAGGTCCGTCTGATTCGTCGGATGATATAGCATGTGAGTCACGTGACTGTGATTGTAAACCCTACTAAAATATCACTAAATTTAATTGGTATGTTTTGTGAGGTCCACCGTCCACCCACCCATCTTTTAGCACTACATAAACATTAAACATCATAGCTTTTGCCCCCACCGCAATCGACTTACGCCTAAAAAACTTTGGTGTCCTTACCTGTAAATCCTCTTGTAATTATTATTTTGTTACTGTTAAAAAAAAAAAAAAAAAACTTTGAATCTAGTAATTTTAAGGCCCATTTTGAGGTACGTAGCTTGAATATGCTTATTGATCCTTAATGTTGTTTGTTTGCCCTTAGCCAAACTTGTATGCTGTTAATATTGATTGTTTGCCCTGAGTTGGTGAAGGATTGGCGAAGTTAGAAAATTGTAGACTTTGTCGAGGCAAAGAATAAAGTTCGCCGTGGCGACGTATGCTCTGGAATTTTTCGCTGAGGAGAAGAAAAATCTTCGCCGGGGCTAAAGAGCTGGTTGAAATTCTTGAGAAGTTTTTAGAGAATTTTTTTTCCTTTGAGGCAAAGTGACCATTCTACCCCTAATTAGTAGTAAAAGTGTGAAGTGAAAAGTAAGAAAATTTTATGGAGAATGTAATGAAGATGGGGGTGTATTGGTAATGAACTAAAGGGCAAAGATGAAATTTTAAAGAAAGTGCAAGGGCAAAATGGGAAAGCATGCATATTAATATGAGATATTAAGGGTTTAATCTCACAAACCCTTCCATTCTCTACACTCACACGCCATTTCTACTCTCCAACTCTCTCATCTTTTCATTAAATTTCTAAGGAAAATTAGAGGGTTTTTGGTTGGATTTTGGTAAAGATTTGATCCTAAGCATCCAAAGGTAAGGATTCTTGCTATAGATATGAGATTAATTTGTAAAAGTGTTGGATTCTTATAGTGTTTGTGCTTAGGGTTTTAGAGAAAGAACAAGTCCATCAAAGAAGAGGAATTGTAGTGGAATTACTCAAGCACAAGTTAAGTAAATCCAACCCTAACCCTTGTTTGAGCAATAAAAGTGTAGAGATTGTTTCATATGAATCTTATATGAATTTATATGCTTGAGATTTGTGGATGGAATTGTTATTGAGTTTGATGATGGTCCATGATTGGATTTCCACCATGAGAAGGGATGGTTGTGTTGATAGAAGTTGGAAATAGTTTAAGAAGATTTATGAAGTGTAATTTCCTGGCCAGGATTAGTGATGATTTAAGGGGGTTTTACTCCAATTATTGGTAGATTGAGAAAGAAAATAGAAATATAGTCAAAATAGAAATTGCGTATGCATACATGATGTTTGATGCAATGCTTAAGAGAAGTGTGTGCATGAGTAGAGAAAACTTATTTTTGTGCTACATGACATTTTTGCATTACATGTTTGCACTTAGAAAGAATTAAAAGCATGAGCCATCCACATGCATACATATGCATATGTATGAGAACCTAAAAAATAAAGAAAGAAAGATTAAAGAAAAAGAAAGAAAAAGCTAGAATGCTTTAAAAGAAGAAAAGAAAGGTTGTTGTGATGGGGAACCCGTGGGTGACAAGAAGAAGAATATTCTCACATACATGCTGCCTTAAGTGAGCGGCTTAAGAAGAAGAAGAAGCATTTGTACGGCCCGTTAGAGTGTATGTGGATGAGGGTTGTATCAAGAAGAAATATCTACATGCACACCACCTTAATTGAGTGGCCTAAAAAGAAAACAATTTGTATAGTCTGTAAGAGTACATGTAGATAAGGACTGTACTCACTTACACGGCTGGGGCTCCGAATCCATGCATCAACCAAGTCCGATCGGCAAAGAATAAGAAAGAATGAGCAAACAAGAAAAGAAAGAAAAGAAAAGAGAGAAAAGAAAAGAAGAAAAGAAAAAGAAAGAAAGAAAGAATAAAAAGAATGGAAAGAATAGAAAGAAAGAAAAGAAACAGAAAGAAAGAAAAAGAAAACAGAATAAGAGAAAAGAAGAAAGAAAATGCATTTTCTATGCATTTTGTGCATTGCATCTCATCCATGCATATTATCATGATTCTTATCATGGTTAGTGAGAGATTAGAAGAAAGAAAGAACAGAGAGAGAATTAGAAAGAAAGATAGAACCAAGAAAGTTAGAATGAAAGAACAGTGAGAACTAGAAACAGTGAAAGATAAGAGAAAGAACAAAGAGAGAATGAAAAATAAAAAGAATAGAGTAAGGAAAGAACTCAATAAGTCACGAGGATAGAAGAGTAGATAATTTACATATTGAGCAATTAGTGCCCACCTCGTTGTTTTTCCATGTTTTACAGGAAATAGGTGAAAAGCGGTCGAATGGACATCGGGAAGCGAAGAGAAATGACATTACTGTCCACCATTATTAAAGCTTTTGTATATGCTATTTTGTTATGTAAAGAATTATATATAAAGTAAAGAAAATTTTTGGGCCCATTACTTTTCCTGTTATACTTATGTATTTTATCATGATATATTTTCTACGAATACTAGTTAAGAAAGAAGGTATTACAGTAATCTACCATTGTTTATTTACTGCTTTAATAGAATTAATCTTATTTTAATAATGACTAACTATTTTTGTTGGTGTTTGATAGTGATAGAGATATAAGATATTTTCGTCATTTTATTTTTAGAATAATGTTATATGTACTAATAAATTTTATAAAGATTTATGTATAAATTGATGTGGTATATAATAAAAGGAAAAACGAATATTTTATGCCACCACAATTTATACACAAATTTTTATAAAATTTATTCGTTGATAAAATATAATATTGTTGTTTTTAACCGATAAATTTATCGATCCAACTAACCGCGTCATTTTGCTCACACCACCGCTTGCACGCGTAAAATCAAAACGCCCTTTAGCCGTTAAACAATTCCACTTACAAATCAGACCTCCTCCATCACCATTCTCGTCTCACAACAAAATGGATCGCGCTTTTCAACGAGCCAAAATCCTCAGCGATCATCTCTTGCAATCCAATTCTTCTCAGATTATTTCCACAAACGCATGCTTAAGTTACTGTCCGCCCGAACTCAATGAACTTTACGATTTCGACATCAAAGAGATGCGGAAACTATTGGATGGCCACAACGTCCAAGACCGAGACTGGCTGTTCAATCTCATCGTACAGAGCAAACTTTTTAATCCGAAAAAAGCGGGAGAGAAAGTCTTTATATCGCCTGATTATAATCAGTCGATGGAGCAACAACGGGAGATGACAATGAAGAGAATTTCCTACTTGCTGGAAAGAGGGGTTTTTCAAGGCTGGCTTACTGCCAAAGGAGTCGAAGCTGAGCTGACCAAATTAGCTCTTCTTGAAGTTGTCAATATGTTCGACCACTCGCTCGCCATCAAGCTCGGTGTTCACTTCTTCTTGTGGTAATTAAATATTGAAATTTGTCATTTAATTAATTTGTACGAGCTGGATTTTTGATTAAAATTAAAAAAAGTTTTGGATTCTGATTTGGTTGCAGGGGTGGGGCCATCCAATTTTTCGGGACGAAGCGCCACCACGACAAGTGGCTGAGAGACACTGAGAATTATGTGGTGAAGGGTTGCTTTTCAATGACGGAGTTGGGACATGGAAGTAATGTATGTATAGTAATGTTTTTAATTCCTTTTGTAGAATCTTATGATATCCTTTATTTTTGAACTGTTGGTTGGGACTGTTGTTTTTAGGTCAGAGGAATTGAAACGGTTACCACTTATGATTCAAACACTGGCGAGTTTGTTATAAACACTCTTTGTGAATCTGCTCAGAAGTACTGGATTGGTGGGGCCGCTAATGTAAGAATCTCTTTTTAATTTCATAAGGTTTTTGATTCCTGTGCCACATGTAAAATTTTGTACGCTACTGTTTTTGTTCTTGCAGCATCTGTGCTTACATTGTTTTTGTTGTTTTGCCTGTTTAGCATGCAACACATACAGTGGTCTTTTCGCAGCTTGAAATTAATGGGAAAAATCAAGGGGTTCATGCTTTTATTTGCCAGATCAGGGATGAAGATGGTAACATCTGTCCTAATATCCAGATAGCTGACTGTGGTCATAAAATTGGGTTGAATGGTGTTGATAATGGTCGTCTCTGGTAATAATTATGAGACAACTGTTCTCCTTCATGCTTCAATGACCTTAAATTTATTTTTTCTATGGTTGAGATGTAACTCTAGAAGTTTTGGAATGTTGTCCAGGTTTGACAATGTCCGCATCCCCAGGGAGAATTTATTGAATTCGGTTGCTGATGTTTCACCAAATGGGGAATACCTGAGTGCAATTAAAGACCCAGATCAGGTAATTATCTTGCTGTTGGATGGCATTTTGTTCTATTTCTTTTTCTTCTAGCTTATTTATCTAACTTTCTAAATGCTAATATAAGTATATTATGTTCAGAGGTTTGCCGCTTTTATGGCCCCTTTAACATCTGGTCGTGTAACTATTGCAGCTAGTGCAGTGTACATATCAAAGGTAAAATACATTTTAAATTTGGTCTGTATTTGGGTTGGACAACTTTTGATGCATGTGTATAATTCTAGGGCCTGTGATGCAGGTAACTCATAAGAAACTTAATGAAGTACTGATAAATAGCATTCTTCTCCTTTTAGATTGGTTTAGCAATTGCTATAAGGTATGCATTATCTAGACGGGCCTTCTCTATTTCACCAAAATGGCCTGAAACCCTGTTGCTTGATTACCCAAGTCATCAACGGCGACTATTGCCTCTCCTTGCAAAGACGTAAGCATCTCAATAACTTGTATTGTGAAATTTAAATTTTAGCTCCTATCGAAAGAATGTATATATAAATTGGACGTATTTTGGATATTAACTTTTGTCTTGCACTTTCATTACAATGAATGTAGAAATAGCATCCAGTATCAACTGAGTATATGTAGAACTGGATTTTCCACTGTGTTGGCACATTTAAAATTCTTGCCAGTTTTTATTTGTTTTCAAAGCTAAGTTGGGAGTTTGATTCTATTACAAGTGTCTTTGTTCTTTCACTTAGTTAATACTTATGTAAGTATCCTGATTGCTTCAGTAATATGTGGTATGCGAATGACACTAATTCTTAAAAGACCTGTCTCTTGATGATCTTAACTAGCAAACTGCTATTCTTGTTTCCCCTGCCGTCCTCTCCCTTTTCTCCCAATTCTTGCTGGGCTACAGATATGCAATGAGTTTGGCCACAAATTACTTGAAGATGATATATGTGAATAGAACACCTCAGTCAAACAAAACCATTCATGTTGTTTCAAGCGCACTCAAGGCCGCACATACCTGGCATAATATGCGAACACTACAGGTGAGAAACTGCAATTATTGTTGAATGATTTACATGCTTCTGCAATTATAATTGTGTTATATACATTCCTGCTAAGTGGTTTCACCAAAGTGACATTACTGTACTTTCAGGAATGTCGTGAAGCTTGTGGAGGACAGGGACTTAAGACTGAGAATCATGTTGGTCATTTGAAAAGTGAATTCGATGTGCAGTCTACTTTTGAAGGGGATAACAATGTCTTGATGCAGCAGGTAGCATAAAGTTTATGGTCTTTTTTTATAAACCTTTTTAATGTAAGACTTCAATATTTTGGTATAAATTGTTTTTTCAAAATGACCTGGCTGAGTATTTTCATTCATTTTTTTTTTTAAAATTAGAATAGGTATCAGTCTATCTAAGACACAGAAAATGTTAGATTCTAATACCTTCTTCAAATGACATGAATTATTTAGTAGCCATCTCCAAAGGTTGGAGGCTAAACAATATTTTTGTTCTTGATCATAAATGAGTTTAGTTTATATTGAGTATTGATAACTCTCTGGCAGTTATATAGGTTGAATCTTAGTAATCTCCTGCTTCTTTTGGATCACAATGTGCAGATTGCAATATTCAATTTTGATTTGTAGATTTATTATGTTAAGCTTTGAGTTACCAATTTTTAATTTGATTTGCTAAATGGCTAAAATTTAATATGGAAGTATATTTCTACTCATTTTTACATTCTCAATAGATCTATTTGTAAATCAAATTAATTTGTGAGTTAAATGTGTGAATATAGGTTAGCAAGGCGCTTCTTGCAGAGTATATAGCAGCTAAGACGAGAAATAATTCTTTCAAAGGTTTGGGATTAGAACACATGAATAAGCCTTGCCCTGTGATCCCATCTCAACTTGCAAGTTCTATCCTCAGGAGCAGCCAGTTTCAAGTAAGCTAATTTAGCTTTTACAATTGCTATTGTAAATATTATTTGATTGTTGCTAACCTCTGTGCAAGTCAGATGGATGCGTTCTGCTTAAGGGAGAGAGATCTCTTGAGTCGTTTTGCTTTGGAAGTGTCGCAGCATCAAGCCAGGGGACAAAGTAAAGAGTATGCCTTCATTCTGGTGAGAATGGTCTTATGTAACCAAACTTGGAAACTGCTTCTCCTCCCATTTGCAGTATTCTTCTCTAATTGCTGTTTTCATTTTACCACACCCAGAGTTACCAGCTTGCAGAAGATTTGGGTAGAGCTTTTTCAGATAGATTAATATTGCAAACCTTTATTGAGTCTGAGGCAACTGTATCAGAGGGTTCTTTGAAGGTAAATTTTAGCAATTATTTATAGTAACTTATTTACTTTGACCTCCGCATGAAATCTAGAACCAATTTCAGATATCCATTTGTCCAATTTGTATGGGTATATAAAGGTTGTGATATTATGTGACCAAGTAAAAAGCTGCAATGGGAAATCAACTGTTTTGAATGGAAAATGAAATATAGCAGATTAAGAAATCTTAGGTATGCAGAGTCCTTTTATTACAGCCAGATAACATTTTTGGGATACTTACAGTTTCCAATATTCTGTTGGAAGTATAAATATTTGGGGTTTGTTTGCAATTAGCATTAATGTTGTTATATAATATTATAACAAAATTAGTTAAAAAGGTGAAATGGAAGTTGCTGAGCAGGTGAATTGTTTCTTCTGCAGCATGTCCTAGGTTTGTTGAGATCGTTGTATGCTTTAATATGCTTGGAAGAAGATGCTGCGTTTCTCCGATATGCGTATTTATCAACAGACAATGATGCTGCTGTGAGGAAAGAAGTCAAACAACTGTGTAGCGAAGTGCGACCACATGCACTCGCTTTGGTCAGTTCCTTTGGCATTCCCGATGGTTTCTTGAGCCCTATAGCATTTAACTGGATTGATGCAAATTCTTGGTCTTCAGCTCATCAATAGTTTGGTTATTTAGTTGAAGCAAAAGGTGTAATGCCCGCAGCTGTCTGCCTTGAGAGTAAGCAGCCGGTCAAACACATGCTATTGAAATTGTGATGAAACATACATTTTGTAAAACAGTTTATTAATAAATCGGGGCTCTTGTTTTCTAAGCACAATTACCCAATGGATTGTTTTGGTACTCGTTACTGTTTGTTCCTTGGGTTTAAAAGGTACTGGAAAAATGACACAGGGTTGAGGTTAACAAGCAAAGGGACTCTTGGTTAAGTTGAAAATAAACCATAATAATGTTACATAATATATCTTAATATGGCTGATTTATTTTTAACTTTTGCATTCAATATAACATAGTGTTAATATTTTAAGCCCTATGATCCTTCGATTTGCAACTCATCTTCTAAAGATGACGTTGAGGTCAACCTTACACCGTACTTTGACCCTATATTTAAAGTAAGAGTTTGAGAAACACAAACTTATTATAAACGAACAAACTACCATTAAAAAAAAAAAAAAAACACATTAAAAATATTAAAACGGACCCACACTCTGTATTCTAGACACTGTTTTGTATCTACAAATATGACCTCAGTGCATATCAGCATATGCAATGCAATTGGATTTGGCAACTCGAACAACCTTATCAAAAATATCATTTACCTTGTCGTGCCCAAAAATTCTCGTTTCCATTCCACACTGTTGTTCTTTAGACTTTTGATCTTCAATTTAAGGGTAAATGAATGTTTCCCACCCAAGGTTTGCCTTAATAACCTTTCTCGCCCCAAAAGTTTTAAAATACCACATTTCCAACCCTAAACTTATATTCCGTTAATACTTGAAGTACACTTCACTTTTTCAGCCGACGTTCGACGTGTTACCAAGAGTTAAGGTAAGAGGTGTTTTATAGGGTAGAGGCCAGTGGATTGAACGGTGGTGATTAATTGAATATTCGGCATCAGATTCAATCAAAAATAAATCAAAAACAGAAAACCCTAGCTTTGTGGTGGACAACAATCAGCGAGAAATCGAGTTGTAGAGTGTGAGGGTTTTTGTAAAGAAGAGACTGGAAGTTCAAATCAGGGGCGGACCCAACCCCTTAGAGGGTAGGCCTCACATTTAAAAAAAAAAAAAAAAATTATTTATATAGGCTTATAAAAATTATATATATCTTCAGATTTAAAAAAAAAAAGAGAAATATTATATATATATCCATACTCATCAAAAACTTACCATTAATATATATATATTCTACGCCTACAACATATTAAAAGTTTAAAACTTTCTCCACTCCTTTTTATGTGTATATGTTTTTTATAATTTTATCCCTAAAATTCTTTATTCTCTCGTTCTCTCTTTCACTTTCTCTATATTATTCGTTCTTAAACCTTTTGAAGACTGAAATTGTTGAAGCTTCACTTATCAAGGTCCCATAATTAGCTTCGTTTTCTGTTTTATCAGTTTTAGGTATGTTTATTGCTCATTTCATTTTAGTTTATTTTAGGGTTGAATCATGCTTAACTATATTTTACTGAACGTTATTCTTCACTTTTTACCGATCACTTTCCTATATTTCAAACGTCACTGTTTAGCTGCTCAAAATTATTAAGGAAATTTGAGTTATTATTTATGTTTAGACTAAGAAAATTTCCAATTTTTTTATTAATTCATATTAAAAGTCAAGGCAACATTGACTTAATTTAAGTTTTGGTTGACTTTAACTAAGGTTATGCTTGATCAAAGTCATGAAAATTTATATTATAATCTTTGAAAGAAAAAAAAAATTAAAAGAAAAAAAAGAGGAGAAATAAGAAATTTGTGTAAAACATTTTTGGTGGATTCTGATTGTCGTAAATTCTTTTAATTATATTGAATTTAAGTTGATCGTTAGATTCTCGTGGCGTTTTGCTCTCTTTAATTGAAGAGGTTCTTCCACGTAAAAAACTTCCTGTGTTTCCTCGCGAATTTAATGTTATATTTGAATATTATTTTCAACATAATTTGCTCAAGGTTTTGCTTCTCATAGATTTATTCAAGTGGTAAAGTATTGTATTGTTGCATTATTTTCTTTCAGATTATTGATATTATATTATTTCCTTTGCTTAAGGTTTGATATTTTTTTTTTTAATTTTTCACTAGTTGTTTGATAAACAATGATAGAGCTACGGATGCCTCCCTTGGGCAAAAATCCTGGGTTCGCCACTGGTTCAAATGGTGGTGTTTAATCAACTTTGGGTCTTAACAGAATATAAATTTTGGGTGAAGAAATGATATTTTGAAACCTTTTGGGTGTAAAGTGTCATTAAGGCAAACCTTGGGTTTGGAAAAAGTCGTTTACATAAATTTAATTATTCAAATTATTGTACTTCGGTTAGATATTTAAAGACGATGACCTTAAAATATAATATATTCACAAGTAATGGAATTGGATATCCATGTCATTACGTGACAGCGACGATTAATATCGCATTAAAATAAGAGTAAACGACTATTTCCCACCCAAGGTTTGCCTAAGTGACACTTTCCCACCCAAAAAGTTTCATAATACCAAATGACCACCCACAACATATTTCCGTCAGTAAATTTAGTTATAAAGAAGGGTAAGATGGTCAAAATTCATTTATAATTAAGGGTAGGATGGTCATTTTATTATTAAATAAAAAATAAAAAATAAAAATTAAAAATTAAAAATTAAAAATTAAAAATTGAAGTTGTGGGCTAAGGCGTTGCACGTGTCCAGGGTATTTGAACTTAGAAAGAAAAACAAAAGAAACGATGACTTTTGCGTGTTTTGGAAGGGGCAACTTTTGGGTTCTGGCTGATGGCTTCGACTGCATTCTGGTGATTTGATTGTTTATGGCGACAATAATCACCAGAATGCAGTTGTGGCTGTGTTTGGCGATTTTGGAGTTTTGGGTTCGTTTACAGTGTTGAGGATAAGGGTTTGGGGTTGTTATCAGAGAGTTTTTTCGGCGGTAGACTTGTTTTTTCAACGAACGGCAAGTTCTTTGGTCAATGACAGTTGGTCTACTTACTCACGGCTTTTGAAGTCGTTCATCGTTGAGGCTGGTAATGATAGGGTTTGCATTTGCGAGTGGTTGAACTTGTGGAGGACTGGAGGTAGTCATCTTTTTTTTTTTCACCTTTGTTGGTTTCGTTTACTGTAGGTTGTATGGGAAAAAATTTGGTTTTTGTTTTGTTGTTTTTGTTTGCAAATGGGTTAGTGACAGGAAGTTTTGTTTGTTGTTTTCGTGTACATAGGGTTAATACTTTATGATTCTCATGGTACATTTTCATGTTCTTGCTGGTATGGGATCCCAGTCACAAAATGTTGTTCATGCTCCTGCTGCATTAAGAAATTTCACAACGTCTCAGAAGGAAAAAACTTCGGATGAGCTGCTGCAAGAGAAGTGCCTTTTTTACACAGAAGATGGTAAAATAAGACTTGGTGTCAGGTCTTGCCTTGATTTGTGGAGTTGGTTCTGCAATCTAGATGTTCCTTCCTGTGAAGTGTGCAATGAAGTTATACTGAAGGTTGTATTCAATTGTTTCTTTGTCGCTTTACTTTCAAGATCTGATTAATGTTTGTTTAGTGCAAAGTTTTACTTTTATTTTTAATTTGATTAGTTCACGTGATTATTTTACCCAATTAGCTTATTCGAAACTATTGTAAATAACCGTAAACAAATCAAGCAAACATCAACCTACAAACACACAATCAACGCAAACCAAACAGATTCAACACACAGTATTTACCGTGGTTCACTTTTTCAATATTGAACAAGCTACGTCCACGTTGAGCTCCAGAATATGGATGCTTGCTGCACTTTCTATTTCGATCAAGAACGGTTACAACCCTCAACCTCTCTCTATTACAAGATTTCAACCAAGATCAAACAAGATTTGAACCAACAACAGTAAACCTACAATCTGAGATAAGAACACTACACTAGGTTCCCTCCCTACTAAGAAACACAACTCAAATGGACAGATTTCCCGCAGATTTACACCCACACGAACAAACCCTAATCTTGAACCCTAATTTGTAACTCAGAGAGATATCAACACAGAGAGAAAAATGCCTTAATGAAAAGCTGAAGAGTCACCAGCTTTTATAGGTTTGACTCAGCCTAAGTCTTCAGTCGTTAGATCTGGATTCAAACCAACGATCAGGATTGAGTGTCGGTTTAAGTCACAACGGTGTCGTTTGGAATTTCTTGGCTTAAGTTAAACGGTGTCACTTTAAGGCTTCACATTTAACAATCTCCACCTTGAAGCCTCATTCTTTCCTTTGTCAGTAACCAACAGGTGCAGCAAGCAGTTCTCATACTTCTTCTTTGCTCTGCTGAATTCAGTTGATGTGAAGAATGTTCAAGCAGTGCTTGAACTTTACAGCAGTTACAACTTTGGTTCCCATATCAGATGGATTTTCTTCAGTTGGAATTTTCAGCAGGTTGACAGTTTCCTTTGAAATCTGATCTCGGACAAAATGATACTTAACATCCATATGTTTCGTCCTCTCATGGTATACTGGGTTTTTACTTAGATGAATGACACTTTGACTGTCAGATTATACAGTCACAGGGCCATTCATCAAGTTTATCTCTTTCAAAATCCCTTGTAGCCAGATTGCCTCTTTGAAAGCAGTTACTGCCACATACTCAACTTCTGTTGTGGACAGTGCCACTAATGGTTGAAGCTGGGATTTCCAGCTAATGCAGTTTCCACTAAAGTGAAATAATAAGCTGTTGTGGACTTCCTTGAATCACGATCTCCTGCAAAGTCAGAATCCACATACCCAACAAGATCAAGTGCAGGAGTTCTTTTGCAATACTCTAATCCAACATGCATTGTAGTGTTAATGTATCTAAGTGTCCATTTTAAGGCAACCCAATGCTCTATTCCTGGATTTGACATAAACCTACTTAATAGAGATATTGCAAATGAAAGATCATGCCTAGTGCTTATCATTGAATACATCACTGATCCTATGGCACTAGAGTAGGGGATGTTTTCCATTTTATTCCTATCTACATCAGTTTTGGGGGATTGACCTTTGCTTAAGGTGAAATGACCTGCTAAGGGTACATTTATAGTTTTAGCACCAGTCAAACCAAACCTAGATATTAGTTTTTGCAGATATGGGAATTGGTGTAGTTTCAGTCTATTTTCTTTTCTATTTCTATCAATCATCATCCCTAATATCCTTTTTACAGATCCTAGATCTGTCATTTCAAATTCAACATTTAATTTTGCTTTTAATTCATCTATTTGAGGTTTGGACTTACTGATTATTAGCATATCGTCTACATATAGCAGTAAGTACATGTGGATGTTATTAAAGCAAGCATAATACAAAAATCTATTATAAGCACTCCTAATGAACCTAATTCCCACTATAAAGGAGTCAAATCTTTTGTACCACTGCCTAGGGGATTGTTTGAGTCCATACAGGGACTTGTGCAACAGGCAGGCATATTCATGTAGGTTTCTATCTCTAAACCCTAATGGCTAACTCATATAAATTTTCTCTTCCAGTTCACCATGTAAAAAGGCTGTTTTAACATCTAACTGTTCCAGTTCTAGATCATATTGAGTTATGATAATCCGTGGATTATACAGTTTTCATTAGACTTTTTAGTCGGATTTCAGGTACTTTCTAGTGCATTTTTACCTGAATTGTTTCTTAATTCTTGACATTTTGTGTTTCAGGTTAAAATGGACATTTGGAGCAAATAAGGACAAAATTGAAAGTTTTTGACTCAGAATTAGCGGATCTCAGAAGATAAGAGAGTTCTGAAGCAGGATAAAGCACGATGAGGTTTGTTCCAAAGAGAGAGAGCACCGGGAATCGGAGAATCAAGCGAAGAAGAAAGAAAAGTGGCAATTTTGTAATTTCAGAACTTGTCAAGAAGCTTCGCCGCGGCGAAGTAGGCCAGAGACGAGCATGTCTGATTCTCTCTTCGCCGCGGCGACGGTCATTATTTTCAGTTTTGTTAAACGCACAGTTTTACTTTGTGTGTGTTTTTGTTGGGTAATTGGGGCAAGGTATAAAAGAAACACTTAGCCTTTTATAACTTCGTTTTTTTTTAGGTTAAGCAGCTTTTACATTTTTTGGCTGAATTTTGAGCGATTTTGAGTTGTAACAAGGGTGAAGATTCGATTCTAACCGAGGGATTCATCTTTTGGGGAGATCTCTTATCTTTTATCTCATTTTTCATTATGCTAGATGTTGATATTCTCGTTTTTCGTTGTTGTATTGTTGATCTAGCTATGAACTAACCCATTTTGGGTTAGGGTTTTGATTGTAATTTGGATTTTAATGGGTTAAGTGTTGGAGTGTTTTATTTTCATATGAGTATGCTTTGGTTGTGTGTTTACTCTGAGTTTTAATGCTTTTATATGAAGAACATGATAAGATTGAGAAATGAATCATGTTAGGTTTCTTGGGTAATCACCATTATAGTATTGGATGCTAGAGATAGATGCAAGAATCAATGAAATCATTGTAGGATTCTCTTGCTTAATGAGTTCGGAATTGTTAACCTTCAAATTGTTGGGTGCGGAAGGTTAATAAGGAAGAATAGGAAACATAGCTCGAGAGGGTATGTTTAACACCTTCGTAAATTTGATTTACAACCATTGCGTATGAATATGAATTTAGTAAAATTTTAGGTTCAACCCATAAAATCCGAATGAAGTCAAAACCCTACCCTTTTTAATTGAATTGATTTTATCCGTATTTTACATCTTGCTTTCTTAATTAATTTGCAATTAGTGAATTTGTCTTAGCAATAGGTTAAATTGCTCCCAATTATCTAAAAGATTTCGGTTGCTCCAACTTGAAAACGGTAGAGAACTTAGTGATTAGCTAACAATCCTCGTGGGAACGATACTCTTACTCATCATTATATTACTTTATGCGACTAGTATACTTGCTATTTTTGCATGTTGTAGTTCAACGCATCAAGTTTTTGGTATGCGGATTAGAGAAACATTTCCGGATGAGAAGTTGATGACAGTGGAGGAAGCACCATGGTATGCGGATTTTGCAAACTATTTGTCATCAAGGGTGCTCCCAAGTGGTATGACGTACCAACAAAAGAGAAAATTTTTCTCAGATTTGAAGTACTACTTTTGGGAAGAACCATTTCTATACAGACACTGTACATATCAAATGATATGGAGATGTGTCCCAGAGGAGGAGATGGAAAGCATTCTTAGGCATTGTCACGAGAAAGAAGTAGGTGGCCATTTTGGAGGAGCTAAGACAGCAGCGAAGGTTTTACAATCGGGTTTTTATTGGCCAACCCTCTTTAAGGATTCCTTCCAGATGATTCAAGAGTGTGACCAATGTCAACAGATGGGCAATATTTCAAAAAGAGATGAGATGCCATTGAACAACATCTTGGTGGTTGAGCTTTTTGATGTGTGGGGGATTGATTTCATGGGTCCTTTTCCAAATTCTTTTGGAAACACATTTATCTTAGTTGCGGTGGATTACGTGTCAAAGTGGGTTGAGGCAGTTGCATTGCCGACTAATGATGCTAGGGTAGTGATTAAGTTTGTGAGAAAGAATATTTTCTCAAGGTTTGGGGTACCATGGGCAATCATTAGTGATGGAGGGTCACATTTTTGCAATAGGCAAATGGATGCGTTGTTGAGTAAATATGGTGTGACACATAGAGTCGCAACACCATACCATCCACAAACGAGCGGGCAAGTGGAACTATCAAATAGAGAACTCAAGGGGATTTTGGAAAAGACAGTTAATGCATCTAGGAAAGATTGGTCACGAAAGCTGGACGATGCATTATGGGCTTATCGAATTGCCTTTAAGACTTCGATTGGTATGTCTCTATTCAGGGTGGTTTATCGGAAAGTATGCCACTTGCTAGTTGAACTCGAGCATAAAACATACTGGGCAGTCAATCAGCTAAAATGGACTTGAAAGCTGCTGGAGAAGAAAGGATGCTGACTTTGAATGAACTCGATGAGTTTCGTCTTGAAGCATATGAAAATGCCCGGATCTATAAGGAGAAGCCAAAAAGGTGGCGTGACAAGCATATCAGGAGAAAGGAATTTGAAGTAGGACAGAAGGTGTTGTTGTTCAATTCTAGACTTTGGCTATTCCTCAGAAAACTTAAGTCTAGATGGTCCGGACCATTCACTATTACAAGGATTCACGCATCCGGAGCAGTCGAAGTTACACATGAAGAAAAGGGCACTTTCACGGTCAATGGACAAAGGTTGAAGCCATACATTGAGGGGGTGATGAGTTGCAACTCCATCCCAATCCGGCTTGACATCCCAACTTGAGAATTGAGAGAGTCGAGCTTTCGACTATAAACAAGCGCTTCTTGGGAGGCAACCCAAGTGTTTTTAACTTTTTTTTTTTCATTGTGGTTGTTAATTTTGTTTAATTTCATTATGAGTTTTTATGAATTCTTATGTAATTGTTTTTGGGTGTTTCAGGTGAAGTCTTTAGCCAAAGGAAGTATGAAAAAGTTCCAAACTTCGCCAGGGCGAAGAGACTTGAAAATTGGGTAAGCTCCTGGCTGTTTTCGCCTTGGCGAAGAAATTGAAAATAAATTTTTGGAAAGTTGGCTAAGGCATTTCGCCGCGGCGAAGAAATATTCTTCGTTGGGGCGAAGAAGCCTTGTATCCTCGGGAAAGTTTCACCCCTACGAAGAATTCTTTCTTCTCCGCGGCGAAACTTGGGAAATTTTTAGGGTTATAAACGAAGAACATCGCCGTGGCGAAGTTTCTTCTTCGCCGCGGCGACGACACTTTTCTATAAATACAACCTTTTATTTTTCATTTGTAACGAAACCCTTCACTTCCATTTGAGAGAAAATTTTTCAAACTTCAATGTTTTGCTTCCCTAGTGCCTTTTAAACCAAATTTCTTACTCCATGACACTCCTAAACACAAAATCAACCCATTTCAACAACAATTTTTGCGAAAATTTCACGAAAATTTGTGGATCCAAAATTTGGGGCTTTTCAATCTGGGCTGTTTCTGGTTCAATTGTATCGAAAAATTTCATGTTTCGAATAGTAGATCTGAAAATTTTTATTTCGATTGAGTTGATTGTGTTGGGTGATTTTGAGCATTGATATTGTTTGAAGAAGGGTAGCTTATGCATTGAATGATTGTTAGGAGTGTGGGTGTTGAATTTTTGGAGTGTTTGTGTTGAATTGAAAATTTGTAGTTTAGGGGTAAAGTGCGAGTTTTTGGAAGTGTTNCACTAATAAAATAGTCGCGAAAACCGTTTGGATTCTACATTCAGCGTCTAAAAGAGTTACAATTAGCCACTAAATTTTGGTCACTAATAGATACATTCGTCAACTAACAAAATAGTTGCAAAAGCCTTTTACGAAATTACCCTTACACCTTTGGCGTCTAATTTGTGTAGGATTCGCGACAAATTATTAGACACTAAAACTGACATTTTGCAACTAATTGATTAGTCGCTATACAATTTTACTAAATTACCCTTGAACTTTTAGCGTCTAAGTTGGAGGACTATTTTGACCAGGATTTACCGACTATTTTGCTAGTCGCAAAAAAAAAAAAAAACTTTTGCGTCTAAACCACAATATAGACGCACTATGAATCTGTGACCAGCCTACTGCAACTAAGGGGGCGACAACCAAATTTAGACGCTAAAAATGGCTTAGCGTCTAAATGTGACTTTCTACGTCTAATTTTGCTAGACACAAAATGTCAATTTTCTTGTAGTGAGAATATGGATGCTCGCTGCACTTTCTATTTCGATCAAGAACGATTACAACCCTCAACCTCTCTTTCTTACAAGATTTCACCAAGATCAAACAGGATTTGAACCAACAACAATAAACCTACAATCTGAGATCAGAACACTACACCAGGTTCCCTCCCCACTAAGAAACATAACTCAATGGACATATTTCCCGCAGATTTACACCCACACGAACAAACCTTAATCTTGAACCCTAATTTGTAACTCAGAGAGATATCAAAACAGAGAGAAAAAC